GTTTTAACATAAAGCAGTCATATCAGATGTTTGGACATTCCGATTATAATTAGATTTATTTGGTAAGGCCATTATTGTTTCAATATAAAGCAGTCATATCAGATGTTTGGACATTCCGATTATAATTAGATTTATTTGGTAAGACCATTATTGTTTTAATAAAGCAGTCATATCAGATGTTTGGACATTCCGATTATAATTAGATTTATTTGGTAAGGCCATTATTGTTTTAATAAAACAGTCATATCAGATGTTTGGACATTCCGATTATAATTAGATTTATTTGGTAAGGCCATTATTGTTTCAATATAAAGCAGTCATATCAGATGTTTGGACATTCCGATTATAATTAGATTTATTTGGTAAGGCCATTATTGTTTTAATAAAGCAGTCATATCAGATCTTTGGACATTCCGATTATAATTAGATTTATTTGGTAAGGCCATTATTGTTTTAATAAAGCAGTCATATCAGATGTTTGGACATTCCGATTATAATTAGATTTATTTGGTAAGGCCATTATTGTTTTAATAAAGCAGTCACATATCAGATGTTTGGACATTCCGATTATAATTAGATTTATTTGGTAAGGCCATTATTGTTTTAATAAAGCAGTCATATCAGATGTTTGGACATTCTGATTATAATTAGATTTATTTGGTAAGGCCATTATTGTTTTAATAAAGCAGTCATATCAGATGTTTGGACATTCCGATTATAATTAGATTTATTTGGTAAGGCCATCATTGTTTTAATAAAGCAGTCATATCAGATGTTTGGACATTCCGATTATAATTAGATTTATTTGGTAAGGCCATTATTGTTTTAATAAAGCAGTCATGTCAGATGTTTGGACATTCCGATTATAATTAGATTTATTTGGTAAGGCCATTATTGTTTTAATAAAGCAGTCATATCAGATGTTTGGACATTCCGATTATAATTAGATTTATTTGGTAAGGCCATTATTGTTTTAATAAAGCAGTCATATCAGATGTTTGGACATTCCGATTATAATTAGATTTATTTGGTAAGGCCATTATTGTTTTAATATAAAGCAGTCATATCAGATGTTTGGACATTCCGATTATAATTAGATTTATTTGGTAAGGCCATTATTGTTTTAATAAAGCAGTCATATCAGATGTTTGGACATTCCGATTATAATTAGATTTATTTGGTAAGGCCATTATTGTTTCAATATAAAGCAGTCATATCAGATGTTTGGACATTCCGATTATAATTAGATTGATTTGGTAAGGCCATTTTTGTTTTAATAAAGCAGTCATATCAGATGTTTGGACATTCCGATTATAATTAGATTTATTTGGTAAGGCCATTATTGTTTTAATAAAGCAGTCATATCAGATGTTTGGACATTCCGATTATAATTAGATTTATTTGGTAAGGCCATTATTGTTTTAATATAAAGCAGTCATATCAGATGTTTGGACATTCCGATTATAATTAGATTTATTTGGTAAGGCCATTATTGTTTTAATAAAGCAGTCATATCAGATGTTTGGACATTCCGATTATAATTAGATTTATTTGGTAAGGCCATTATTGTTTTAATAAAGCAGTCATATCAGATGTTTGGACATTCCGATTATAATTAGATTTATTTGGTAAGGTCATTATTGTTTTAATAAAACAGTCATATCAGATATTTGGACATTCCGATTATAATTAGATTTATTTGGTAAGGCCATTATTGTTTTAAGATAAAGCAGTCATATCAGATGTTTGGACATTCCGATTATAATTAGATTTATTTGGTAAGGCCATTATTGTTTTAATAAAGCAGTCATATCAGATCTTTGGACATTCCGATTATAATTAGATTTATTTGGTAAGGCCATTATTGTTTTAACATAAAGCAGTCATATCAGATGTTTGGACATTCCGATTATAATTAGATTTATTTGGTAAGGCCATTATTGTTTCAATATAAAGCAGTCATATCAGATGTTTGGACATTCCGATTATAATTAGATTTATTTGGTAAGACCATTATTGTTTTAATAAAGCAGTCATATCAGATGTTTGGACATTCCGATTATAATTAGATTTATTTGGTAAGGCCATTATTGTTTTAATAAAACAGTCATATCAGATGTTTGGACATTCCGATTATAATTAGATTTATTTGGTAAGGCCATTATTGTTTCAATATAAAGCAGTCATATCAGATGTTTGGACATTCCGATTATAATTAGATTTATTTGGTAAGGCCATTATTGTTTTAATAAAGCAGTCATATCAGATCTTTGGACATTCCGATTATAATTAGATTTATTTGGTAAGGCCATTATTGTTTTAATAAAACAGTCATATCAGATGTTTGGACATTCCGATTATAATTAGATTTATTTGGTAAGGCCATTATGGTTTCAATATAAAGCAGTCATATCAGATGTTTGGACATTCCGATTATAATTAGATTTATTTGGTAAGACCATTATTGTTTTAATAAAGCAGTCATATCAGATGTTTGGACATTCCGATTATAATTAGATTTATTTGGTAAGGCCATTATTGTTTCAATATAAAGCAGTCATATCAGATGTTTGGACATTCCGATTATAATTAGATTTATTTGGTAAGACCATTATTGTTTTAATAAAGCAGTCATATCAGATGTTTGGACATTCCGATTATAATTAGATTTATTTGGTAAGGCCATTATTGTTTTAATATAAAGCAGTCATATCAGATCTTTGGACATTCCGATTATAATTAGATTTATTTGGTAAGGCCATTATTGTTTTAATATAAAACAATCATCAAAGATACTGGCTTATAATTTATTTGTGTGGACGAGACGCACGTCTGGCGTATTGAATTTTAAGCCTAGTACCTTTTGTTAGCTATTATTCGTGTGTTTCTTTGTCCTATATGTTCTCCCATTTATTTGTATTGTGGTCCTGTCATGTGATGTTGTCGTTTTGGTGTTGTGATTGACGTTGCCATAAAAGCGGGAGGTTTGGCATGCCACAAAACCAGGTTCAACCCACCATTTTTTTCTTAAAATGTCCTGTACCAAGTCAGGAAAATGGCCATTGTTATATTATAGTTCGTTTCTGTGTGTGTTACATTTTAATATTGTGTTTTTGTTGTGTCGTTGTTCTCTTATATTTGATGCGTTTCCCTCAGTTTTAGTTTGTAACCCGGATTTGTTTTTATCTCTATCGATTTATGAGTTTTCGAACAGCGGTATACTACTGTTGCCTTTATTTATAGGTTTAATCATTCGCAATCATAACCTGTTGAGTAGAACTTATAACGAATAAAAATAATTTGCCAGTCAAAATATTTACGATTTTCGAAAAAAAACTTGATACAGTTAACAATTGAATAAGATATAAATAATTGCAACAAATAACACCATTTGCATTTCTGGGTATTTAAGTGAGCTTGTATATTTAAGGGAGAATGACTCCATTGTTCTTTCAAAATGTTTCGGAGCTGAAACGATACCATAAATTCGTAAAAATTCTATTTTAGTTCTTGTTATTTTTCTTTCATATTATTTATTTATTGGAATGATTGGGGTTTGTCAATGGAAAAGAAAATGTCGTATGCAGACGTCTAAAAATAGACGAAATGAAATCGTGCAAAATACCGAAAATAATATAAACAGTAATTCAACTATGCGATTCAGGGAACTGGAGGAACGACAACGATTGACCAACCCAGTATGTTCAATTGAAGAATCACGCATTTAAAAACGCATTTAAAAACGCGTGTCTATATCTACCCAGTATGTTCAATTGAAGAATCACGCATTTAAAAACGCGTGTCTATATCTCCTCAGGGTATACCAGCTTACCAGTAATAAGTCAAAAATTTCGTGTCATAGTGTCATCCGAAAAGCAATTTGCATTTGATATCTGGCGTGTGAATATACATAATGTTGTTTGTAATGAGTAAGATATTATTTGTTGTCAACTTAATTGGAAAAGGAACTTGATGAATTTGAGAAATGAACAAAGATTTACGTTTTTGTATTGGACTATATATACTCAAGAAACCCAAGATATATGAGTTCAGTTATTCCTAATACTACAACAAAAAATATTTTAATTTGAAGTATTGATTTCTTGGATCACCTCTACGCAGTAGTGGGACGAGACTCAGATGTGCAGTTTCCGTAGTCGACGACGACGGTTTGTTAAAGTTTGTGATTAGGTCATTTTAGGGGAACCACTGAATGTAAGGCAATGATATTTAGTATTATTGGTATAGGCATTGACACATATTATTTCCAAGGCGATTATTTGGTTTTGCTCCATCAGTCATGCTCTATCGCCCTTGAAAATTTTGTTGAGGTTAGATACAAAAGTTTGTGATTAAGTCAGTTTAAGGTGAACCGTTAATGGTAGTTCAATGATATTTGGTATGCTTCTATGTTATTTGGTCTCTTGTGGAGAGTTGTCTCATTGACAATCATACCACATCTTCTTAGTCTCATAGTCATATCAGCATTTTTAGATATCATTTCCATTTGGATTAAATGGTTCTGCCCCTCAGTCGTTGTCTATTGACTTTGAATTTTTTGCCTAGTTTTCATGTAAATTGTAGTGATTAGGTTAGTTTAAGATGAACCACTTATGTTAATTAAGTCAATGATATTTTGTCTGTAGTTGTACAAGTATAGTATATCGTATTTCCAGGGCGAATATTTGGCCATGCACCTTCAATCATGTTAGATTGGCCTTGAGTGTTTTGTATAGTTTACATGTCAACGATTGCCATTTTAATTTCAACATTTGAATTTTCGATAAAAATTCATACAGGCGAGACCTATTCCTTTGTCAACAGTTCAATATTTAACTATTTTAAAAGTTTCATTGAAAGAATATTAGTACGATTTACACACAATTTTTTTATGATCAAACTCAATTTAGATAATTTATTGTTTTAAGGCTTAGATGCATTGCTTTTATTGAATTTTAACAAATCGGATTCATTTTAAGAATGTAAGTTTTAAACGGATTTATCCAGATGGGTAATCAGTATATTTATAAAAAAAAATGTTCTGTGTTAATCATTGTGGATAATGTTTCCTAGTTAAAACAAAAAGCCATCAATGGTTGCAGTCAATATACAAATGTATGTTATCAAAGTATCCATTTTGTCGTTCATTGTTCTTGATATAATTTAAGCATGATATAGTTCAAGATATTTAGTGGCCTTCATTGATTTACGGATGTCTAGACTCAATTTACTTTGGGATGTTACTTCAATGTAAAATACATTAATGTATTTAATGCATAAAATGGCCTCATAGGAAAGTTTCAGCATGTATTGACTAAGATAATAGACACTGTACATACTGATACCATCAGCGATTTATATGACAATCATCATGCAGATATATATGACAACATACAACAAAATAACAATGTACTAATATTTTTATATTGTCTATAACCTATAAATGTCGTTGTCTCTAACATAATATTAAAAAAATGCAGTATTAAATTAAGTGAAAGTAATTGGTTATTTTTTTTGTAAAAAAAGTGGAATTGGAGTTATACATTATTTCCCGAAACTGGCATATATTATGTGAATATTTCTTAAATGATAGGTCGAATTAATACAACTTTCCTTCTATCTGCTTTTCACAGTTTCGGACATGTGCTTAAAAATAACAACATACATGGAACAGTAACAAAAACATTGACGGTAAGAGATACGAAGGGGCACGGCGATATGAATTAGAACATTAGGTTTCTGGTTGAAGGTTGTCTTATTGGCAATCATACCACATTTTCTTATTTTAAAAAATTAAACCATAAATACTATACCGTGAAGTTGTTTGTAATAACGTTATTAGATTGTTCGATATTCTGATAATTGCCATATTTAGTCAAACTCAGTTCTCTGGTGTTTTAATCTTGTAAATCGATAAAGGAGAGACAAATCAAGGTAACAATCACAAACCCCAAAAGAAGCGAGCCCGAGTGTGCCGACAGTGTAAATGTCTCCTGTTATGCATGCATACGATAGCCCACCATTTACTAAAAGTCAACAAAAAATGAATACTGTTTATCAGAAGAAAAAAAAATAATTGTCATCTCTGTTGATGAGATTATAAAATTCTTTTGTATGAACAGCGGTATACTACTATTGCCTTTATTTATTCATGTTCATGGCATACATTTCTTGCATATTGACGACGATAATAAATTAACAAATAATCCAAAAATTTTGGTTATTAAGCCTGACCGGGAAAAAAATGTTGAATTACCACGAGCAAATAGGCAGATAGTTGTGGACATTTAACCTTGGAAAAGAGAGGCGAAGGATATCAAAGGGACATTCAAACTAATAAATCGAAAACAAACTGACAACGCCATGGCCAAAAAAGAAAAAGGCAAACAGACACACAAAAGTACACAAAACAACATAGAAAACCAAAGACTGAGCAACACGAACCCCATTAAAAACTGGGAGGGATCTCAGGTGCTCTGGAAGGGTAAGCAGATCTTGCTCCACATGTGGCACTTGTTGTGTTGCTAATGTAAGTACAAACCCGGTGATATGTCTAATTCGGTAGGTCACATTCGGGTGAAAAGTAACGATATTGTAGTTACGACAATTTGAACATATCCGTTGTCATCTGTTTAACAGATATTCCGTAACGGTCAACCAACTCGTGATGGAGTCCGTAAAATTTACGTAGAAATGATTTCAACTTCACTACTTGGTGCTCTTGGTTTAATAGCTTCTTTGTGAGCAGCAAACCTCTATCAAGGAAATCACGATAGGCATCATACAAGACCCTCGACGACATGTTTGACTGGATCATGAACATGTAGATAACATGGCATATTAACTACATTATGCATTGCATCTGATTGGACGATACTGCGTATTTATACATCTTGCAAAGCCAATTGGCCGCCCAATCTGCCACGAGTGAAATACCGGACGGGAAATTGTCATGGGAGCATATGTTTACACCAAAGTCAACCTTTGGCGTCTTTTGAGTACACAGGCGTGCCTACAGACTAACAGGCCAACTATTTTCTTATCTCCTTTATGCTATAATTAATTTATGAACTGCCTGTGGAACCATAATTCACTGATACAGTTTGATTTTTCTCCAGAGAAAAACGAATAAAATATCTAAAATACTATAATGTCATGTTTAATGCTAAATTCGAAATGTACATATGTTGCATCGAATTAATGATGCAGTTTTGTAATATCAATAGTGGTGGTTATAGAATTTATATAATACCTAAATGTACCAGATGTCAATCAAAACACGATGACTAACAATTGAACATCAGAATATAGCGCAATTATAATTTAGTAAAGTACGAATTCCAAAGTATGAATGGAACTTTTAAAGAGTAATTTCTGCAAAGTAAATTCTTTTCCCAATTGAGAAAGGTTTGGCGTTTTCAATGCAAAATGTTATCAATGTAGAATATCATTGAAAGATTCAAACATTGGATGTTTGACACGTGTTGATCTATTATAAAAATAAGAAGATGTGGTATGATTGCGAATTAAACAACTATCCACAAGAGACCAAATGACACAGAAATTTATGACTATAGGTCATCGTACGGCTTTCAACAATGAATAAAACCCATACCGCATAGTCAGCTTTAAAAGGCCCCGAAATGACAAATGTAAAACCATTCAAACGAGAAAACAAACGGCCAGATTTGTGTGTTCATTATTCTATTGTGCTGTATTTGTGTTGTGTCGTAAATTAATTTTAGGTGTTCGTTATTATTCTGTGGTTAACATGTTGAAATGTACTTTTATAATATTTATTTATGTATTTCTCTGCCCTAATTGTTCTTGCATTTATTTGTACTGCATTCCTATAACGTATTATGTCATTTTATCGGTATTTTTAACATTGCCATATAAGCGGGAGGTTTGGCTAGCCATAAAACCAGGTTCAACTCACCATTTGTTCTTAAAATGTCCTGTACCATGTCAGGAATATGGCAGTTGTTATCACATTGCCGTTTCTATGTATGTTGGCGTCTGTTTTTGTAGCAGTTCAGTGTTTCTGTTGTTCCGTTTTGTTTCCTCTCATAGTTGATGTGTTTCCCTCAGTTTGGTTTTTGATCCGGATTTGTTTCAGTTAAATCGATTTATGACTATTGAACAGCGGTATACTACTATTGCCTTTATTTATGTACAAAATAATGTACGAAAAACAAATATGATATACAGCAACAAACGACAACCACTGAATTTACAGGCTCCTGACTTGGGACAGGCACATATAGAATGTGGCGGGATTAAACTAGTTTAAAGGCGTCAACCATCCCCTAACATAGGACGGTTGTGTTACAGTACAACATAAGAACAAACTATAGAAATCAATTGAAAACTCGTCAGATGGATACAAAGCAGAAATACATCTAACATCAACATAGGCTGGACGTGGCAGGGTACTTATACACCCCCACAAGTAAAAATAAGTTTGCATTGTGAAAAAAAATAACACTATCGACAATATATATCATGTAGTCCTCAAAAAGGTGTCCAAACAATATGTCAACTCTAAATCGTACCGAGTCTATACACGGTTGTGAATGAATAGCAGTACAAAAGATCTGCCATCAAGTTACAAAAATATTTAATTATGACATAAGACAACCACTGACGAGGATCCGGACTTTGGACAGGCAAATGAATTTAAGACGGGGTTAACCTTGTTGTTACCCTCTTCCTATTACTTAGATCAGTGGAACTGAAAAAATACACACAAGAACATTTGAAAATGCTCTTTATCATGACAACATCCGTTCTGTCCGAGGATGAATATTTCGCAATCTGAAGAGTTCTCTGAATTTTCTGATTTTAATGCCAAATATGCTTATTGTTAGACCTTTCATTTAAATTAGAATATATAAAAGATTTTATTATTTCTTATCTCAAAAATACAGAAATTTTGTTGGTTGATTACACATTGAATCAGATAAGTTTTTTCTGAAAAGCAATCTTCATTTCTATGTATATTTTTAACAAGAACTCTTTTTCTTTTATTTCTTGCAAACAAGTTATCAGAGTTACCTTCTCATATTTTGTTTCAAACTTCTGTAATTGAAGATTCATTGTCAATAAAAGACAAATGTTATTTTTTAAATATCGATATATGCGTGACAGCATAGCTTTCGAAAATGAAAAATGGTAACCTGATGTATGATTCACGCAATGTCACAGCTTGAAGAATATAGAAAAAGTTTTATTAACAATTTATATTTTTTTGACTTTTTAAAAAGACATATCCAACTTCATCTACTCCTTCACACTGGTGCAATCTTCTAAAATATTTATAATCTTTATTAAAATTGTGTCCTGTGTTTACTGTGAGGTCCTTACAACAGTATATCATATTTCGGAAAGCAGATAGTAAAAACGTCTATTAGTAGACACCCAGCAACAGGTTGTTTACGCGCGTCTGGCGCTAATACAAAATTTCTATACTGGTATCTATGATGAGTTTATTCAGATAACGTTGTATTGATGAAGACTGTTCTGTGAACTTTATTTTTTATGTGTGTCGTTAGGTTGCTGTTTCATTGATATATATCCTATATCTATAAAAAAAAGTATATTAAACCGTTGCTACGTATAATTCACAGAATGTGTTCCCAAAGATGTTTTATTCTAAATACCAAAACATATACGTTTGTTAGTGTTTTAGAGTCATCTAACCACGATGATTGTTTGCGTAAGATGTGAACATAAAATATGGAGTTGTCGCATCAATCCCACTGAGACAACTACCCAACATAGAAAATAAAGTAAAGAACTGCATTTATTATTAAGAATCTAAGGTTCAAACTCCCTCAAGGAAACTTGACCTAAGATAAAATCGCCTATTATATGAAGGTCCAGTTTTGTCATACATATAGATTATACATATCGTATTTACACATCACTGGCTGTTAAATGTTTGTGTTTGAGTGTCCTTGATGAAGGTTAATACAGAAAAACGCGTCGTAAGCACGCCATTGATAAAGTGTTTTTTTTTTCATGTAACAGAACTTGGTCGATACCGCTGCTGGTTAACTGTTTGTTTCCGAGAGTATTATCAGCTAAGAAGTTAGTGGTACGTACTAGAATGATATATAACTTTCTTATTTGAAATTCCCAGTAGATAAATTCAGTATCACGAAACGAAGGTTCCAATTTCCCCAAGGAAAGTTAATCTTAGATACATTGACTATTCTGTCCAGGTCCTTTTTGGTCATATAGCTCCTAGAGTTTCTTCCTGTTTACACATCCCTGAATTTTTTATGCTTAGGTTTTGGCGTTCCCGATTAAGGTAAATATTGAAGAAAGCTTCGAACGCAAGGAAAGAATCAATGATTGTTTCATCTACAGGTCATTATACGGCCTTTGACCATTGGCAAAATTCATACCATATAGAAAGCTACAACAGGCACATATATTACAAAATTTGAAACAATTAAAAGTAAAATCGAAAGGTCTCAAATTAGCTAACAACGTTAAGCAAATAGATATGTCAGATAACAATTAACGACAACCACTTGACTACACCTGACTCGGGACTGGCACATTGAAAATGTGGCGTTAGCAAAT